CCCCCCCCCCCCCCCCCCCCTCCCCCCGTCGCACGAGAGACACGCCTCCGCACCTTTGCCTGCTCTGCTGCCGCCGCCGCCACAGACCGAAACCTGCTTGCCGAGGGCGACTTCTCCTTACCCCCGCCACTTTTGTTCACACCGACAACACCGCCGGATGGAAGTCGAGGGGGCGACAGGGACGCAATCACTGCCCTCCGCGTGCCCCCGGCCGCCGTGTGATGCGCCGGAGGCGACAACGACGACGAGGAGGGATTGGCACCCGGGCGGGCGGAGCGTTCCGCGTCCGCGATGGCTTTTAGCACCTGCAGCGCGCGTGTGTGTGACCGGGAAAATTGGGTCGGCAAAAGGATAGGCGGCGTGTGTACGACCTGGGATCGGGTCGTCAAACGGACGGAAGGCGAACGAAAGACGATTTGAGTGGTTGGCTAAGGGTTCTACGCCTACAACGAAAGCAGAGGGAGTCGTGCGAGAGAAAGACGGGGTTTTGCTAATGAAGCAGGGAGTTGAAGCCATGCCTTGCACCCAGCCTTGAGTCGCTCAGAAGTGTGACCTGCCAATCCTGTGCGCCATAGCTCACTGGCGCCACGTAAATGAGCTGGGTGGGCCCGGAAGGGTATTTGAACCGCCACGAATCAACCCCGATGTCAAAGGTGACTAACCACGCACGATCTTGCTTGCTTGGCCGTTTAGAAAACGTAAAACGTATCGCACGAATGAAAAACGTTGAGGCGACAAAAGTGTCATCTCGTTCAACCTAAACCTTCCATATTGAAAGGTCAAAGCACACATACGTTTACATCCTAGTTCCTCGTGTCCATCCAGAACTCAAGAAATGAAAGCTACCGTTACGAACACAACTGCACGTTTTGTTCCTGATGAATCGTTTGTTTCCCTTGATAACAACACTCACGATAGCATCTACATATGTGAGTTGCTGAGGAGTGTGTGCCTCAACCGCAACCCCTGTGAGCACATCTGTACATGTGAGTCCCATACGCGCTGGATTAGCACCTTGAACATGAGGGGGTGGTTGCGGTGGGAGCTGACCATGACGTAGCCCTTCTCCACCTGCACCGACCAACTCAATCTCCCTCTACCCGCCGAGGCCCTTCTGCCCTTGGTCGCCCCGCCAATCACCGCCGCCGCCGCCGCCACGGTACGCGGGTTCACCGTACGGTTTCTCAAGGTCACTCCCGGAGGCGTTCTTGGTGTCATTGGCGTTCCCGAGGATCTCTCCGCTCCGGGCATCTCCGGACAACTACCCTTTGCGTACCCCCGAACACCACCGGACTGACCCCGGCGGGTACCGTTTGCCACCTGGGACCCCGAAAAACTGACGGCTTCAAAGCTCCCGCCGCCCAAGGAGTCTCCTCCGTCGGTGCTACTGTACCCGGCATCGCTCTCGCTCTCGTCATCGGAGAACATTCCCGGAACGTTCTTCTTGACAGTCCCGTCGCTCCTCTCGCGGCCAGCCACGTTACCCCCTCCGCCGCCGCCATGGCCAGCGCTCCTCGACCTTCCGCTCATGCCCGTGGGGTGGTGGCAGTACTCGCCGGAGGGGGAGGTTCGGGGACAAGGCGAAGACGGCGCACGCTGCCTCAGCCGTGACGATGACAATGCTGCCGGTGGCGGAGGCGATGCTGGGGGCGACGGCCTCGACGGCGATACCGCTACCGCCGCAACCGGACGCTTCTTTCGCAGGGACGTTCTTTCTCCCCTCACCGATCGCGGTGGTGATTTATCACTATCATCCCCCGGCCCCGTACCACCGCCATCCGCCACCGCCGCGCCGACAGCAGCAACACCGCTTCCACCATCCGCCACCACCCCCGGGTTGCTGAAGAAGCGGTTGATCATCCCGGAGAAGGACGAGGCGGGACTGTTGCCTTGCTCGGACGCGGCGGAACCGGCACCGGTGGCGCCGCCTCCGGCGGCGGCGCGGGGCGGCGGCGTCTGGAACCCGAACCGAGAAAAAGAACCTCCTTCTTCTCCGGGCGTCCGCGTCGGCGTCGCACAGCCGTAGCCGGTGCTATCGCCTCGCCAATGGTGACCCTCGTCCGTGGAGAGACACGCCGCCGACAGCGTGAAGAACCTGAAGGGGGGCGGGTATAGTAGATGCCGTGTGTTTGGATGCTGCGTTGATTGGTAGGCGTAACGTCATCGGCATTGAAGTATGCCGGGGAAGCAAAAAACCAATCAGATGTGTGCCTCGATCTGTTTCCAGCTCTTGAACATATCCATCTGCCGCCGAGCTCTCTGATGCCACTGAATACTTCCTTCATGCCAAGATTCTGCAGGCCACAGTGCCCTCTTCGATGCATGTACATACCTCTGCAGTGTCCTGGCCGCCTGGTGCATTCTTTCTCTCTCTTGGAGGCGTTGGACCAGACGGGGTGAGGGATCCTGTGTCACCGCAGCGGGACATCGCATAAAATACGTACGTGAGACAAACGGAAGCAGCACCAGGCTGCACAGGAGGTTGGGGTCAAGACCACATTCCCTCCGGAGGGGGTATCGCATTCGACAATTGTACGTGTGACAGCAGTAAAAAAAAGCACCGCACGGGCACAATCTTCGGCGATCAAGACCACTTGCGCGCCCCTAATGTTCAAGCCCACGTTCTCTCGTGGACTGTGAAACCACAATCGCTCTTGGAGGGTCCGACGACAATCCCCTCCCAAGGGGGAGATAAGCATCGAGTGCGCATCAATCAGGATGATCAGTAATAGCACCACACCAAGCCTCACGTGCAAGACGTGGGTGACGGTTAGGCAACAGCCATACGTCGAGGCGTTGTCGCAGTCCGTGAACTGCAGCAGGTGCATCCTGTCCTCGGGAACCGCCTCCCGTGTCCCTGTTCCCTGTGACATCGATATCGTCCCAGCGACAAAGGGGGGAAAGGGGTACCCATGAAAACGCGTGCCACAGCAAGTCGTTAGGGCATTGGCCTCGCGTCCCTACCATCCGGGACGGAGCGACACGTTCGATTTTCGCCGGCCCAGGCTAGGGCATGAAATCTTCATTTTCGCGTATCTGATAGCAGTGGCGAAAACACCCAGCAGCGGCGAAAACACCCAGCATCCTGCTGGCACCTACAGGCAACCGCTGCCGTACTGGAGCGCCTGGAGTCTTCGACGATAGGGCTACTCAGTCACTCTACAGATAGGTACCTTTGGGCTGAGGACCATTGAAGCACGCATGGAAGTCGCATTTGTGCCACCGCCCAATTTTTTTTGTCAGCTCTCATCAGCCTCCGTTCCAAGAAACTACAGGAAAAATGATACGATCTCACCTCTCTGCCCCTGACGAGAGAAATATTCGCGCCGCACGGGAAGCAGAACTCCCCCAGCCCCTGAACGAAACTGCCGTCCCGTTTCCCTCGCCCCGAAGCGTCATCCCCCTCCGTCACCGGAAACCCCGACAGGACTTCCGGGGCTTGTCCCCACGGCTCGAGGGGTTGGGTTCCAGACAGAGTCGAGGGGCTGACGCCAACAACCGCGAACTCCATGAACGTCTGACAGGTGGCGGGATGGGATAGAAGTGGGTACTCACGTTAAGGCATGCCGTGGGCGTTATCCCACTGACAACCTCGCATCCTTACGATGGAGCGATACGCCGGGTTTTCGCCGGCCCAGGCTAAGTTTTACAAGGATGAAGAACCAGAAGGTGGCCATCATCCTTGCGGTTGGGGTTTTCTCGTTGGCTGCCTGTCTAACTACGGAACCATAACCCCAGCTGCAGACATGATATCGTCCGTTTTCGCTTCCTACACTCTTGGTTGCTCGATTTTTTTCGTAATCGCCACGCTTCTTGATGTCCAATGAACTCTATACACCGATACTGCTGCCAACCATCTTCTTGCCAGGCGCGTCGAGACTTGGCGAGCCAACTCATCGCATTCACCTATTCGTTTTTCACAGACGGCCACAACCCCAAGACCTCACCCTCAGCAGCCAATACACTCTCGATTTCGCTTCCCAGACAGCCTCGGTAGTCTCATTCTTCTCCAAGTCTTCCGCCGGCCATTCGTTGCATACCCTGGCACCCACAAACGAAACGAAACCGCTACGCTCCGAAGCTGACATTCTCTCGATCACTTCCCAAACTGCCTCATTCTGTCTCCAAGCCTTTCGCCACCCACACATACCCTGGCACCCACCCCCATCGTCCGCATACCCACCGAAACCTCACCAGATTCTTCTCGTCACCCGTCAGGGGGGGCGTCAGCGTCAGCCCCTCCCATCTGTGCCGCGGCGAGATCTCCGGACCGTTCTCCGGATCGTTCTTTGTTCCGTCGATGGAGGCGTTCGCCGGTCCGGGGGACATGTTCGGGGGCAACGAGAACCGTGACGGCCCTACCGGGTAGCGGGCGCGGCTAGGGATGGCCGACACCCGTCTGCCAGGGACGGAGTGCGGCGGACTGGAAAAGTACGGCGGGATTGGAAAAGAGCGAGGTCACTCGAAGGGTGGGCGTGTTTCAGCGGTGCCTACTTGGAGAGGGGGACAGCCGCAGTGATCACTGCGTGGTACTCGCGCACCGGCAAATGGAAAGGTAGAAATGTTTCATAAGATAAACAGCGACAGATAGAGCGCATGTCGCTGGAAGGATAAGCGTGGTGCGGCGTTCAGCGGTGCCCAATTGGAGGTGGACAACCGCAGGGCTGAGTGTGTGCGAAGCGCACACCGAAAAATGGGATGACAGATAGAGCACAGGGACACTGGAACGGATTCCACAAATGGTGGAGAACGACCGTTTACAGGAAACAAGGCCGCGGATGGTGGAAATTCCGTGAGCATCAAGACCGAGGGGGCAGACCGAGCACCATGCAAAAGTAGTACATAACGTAGGACTTGCCTAGCCACACTAGTGGCAAAATATTGCCCGGTATAAGACCCAATGGCGACTGACTGACACTTTGTATATACCGCCCGTGCTCTACGGCCCAAAACACAATCGCATTTATATATGCCGGTGCGCTACTCTCCCTCCCTCCCTCCCTCCCTCCCTCCCCCTTGAATGCTGCCCTCGGAAGGATCGTGTGGTATCTATAATACCCTCAACAACAACGCCCCCGAGGAAAAATGGTGACCATTTTCCTTGTAAAATGCGGTCACGACCGGCGAAAACCCGGAATTACGCTCCGTCCCGGCGTTGCAGCAATGCGTAGTCAAAGGTCTAACGACTACGGTATGCGTTTACATGAGTATCCCCCCCCCCGAGAAAGGGTCGAGAACCCTCACTCCGCGCAAGGGGGATGATCGCACCACGTTG